AAGGAGAGGCTGTGAGGAGTTAGGAAAGGAGAGGCTGTGAGGAGTTAGGAAAGGAGAGGCTGTGAGGAGTTAGGAAAGGAGAACCAACTTTATTCCTAACAGAAGCTACGCACAGACGGAACAGTGATGAACTCTGTGGTGCACGTCGACAATTCAAGATCGGTTCAGAGGGAACATTTTATCAGTTACTCACAGGAAGTAACAACAAATTTAATTAAATTTAAAATGACCATTAAACAAACTTATATGAAAACATGAGGAATGTACACAAAGAAAAATGTGGATTAACTTGTGAAGATGTTGTGAACTATCAGTTCAATGTGTTTGTTGTTCACTGGACTGATGTGACTCATACGATCATGTGAGGATTTACATCATATATATATATATTTGCTTCACAACCTGAAAACATAAGCCCTCCGGCCACTGGGTGTCGCTAGCGCAGAGTCAGAGGAGCTTCTATCTTTTCTCGAGCAGCTGCCGCATGCAAAATGAAATGAAAGTTGTGGATGTAGCACAGGTGGATAAATGTGTTTCAAATGCTCTGAATACAGTTTCAGTCATTTCAGGTCGGCTGGTGTTACGTTCAGAGCAGCAACTTCTGATTCCTTCGATGTTTCATCTAATGATTGTTTTGCATGAGGAGCTCCAAGTAAAATCTTCTAACTTCTTCGTCTGACCAACAATCAAAAAGCCCAAACATGTAAAGTTTAAATATTTTTTTTTACTGTAGATCGACAGAAATTCAAAATGAGTGGACACACGTGTGTCACAAGGTGAACATCTGAGTCTGGGAACTGTGGGCTTCAGTGTGTGAGGAGAGAGATTAGCGGTGGGATTAGATTAGACGGTCATGTGTGACGAGTCGAGCCAAATCGAGCGGGAAGACTCGACGGTGTGTTCAGATTCACGAGAAGGGAAAAAAGTAAAAGTCACCAGGGAGTATCAGATGCATTTGAGTTCATCTGGGGGCAAAATAACCTCATTGTTTCAAACTGATGGTCACTAACCAAGCAACATGTACCAGCATGCATTGCACTCGCGGCGTTGACAGAAAGAAAAAGACGAGAGGACAGATGTCTCAAAGTGAGCGTTCACATTAGATCCACTGCAGTTTCCTACCTTGCAGTCATGCTGCGCCACAAGTGAGCTCCTGTGGAAAAGAAGAACTTTATTATTCATCATCACTGAGCAATAAAACTAAATAAAATTAAAACTTTCTGTCACATCAGCACAGTTGCACTTTTTATTCTGACAGTTTGCACGAACCAGTTCAGTCTCACTGGATCAAATTGAAACCGTGAAAATACTTTACTCTTACCCCCCATTTATAGAACATTTATATATATATATATAAAACATTTAACCTTGTGTATAACAGGCCATAAGACGGTGATGCGGTTTATTAATGTCAGAACTGTTGAAAAGTGCTGCACATTTCAGACTTTTATCTACTATATCTATATCTACGTACATTTAGTGGAACAACTAAATATTCAGAGTGTCCGTGCAGGTTTCTGTTTGACGGAGAAGTTGGAGCTGGAACAACACAAACACACTCGTGTCTTATACGACAGGAGGGCATGAACTGAGGATGGTCTCTCATATTGTCACACTGTCTTTTCAGGCTACCTGTGTATCTGGACCGAACAACGTCTCTGACGGTCACCATGACAACCAGCACGGCCAGCAGGACGGCCAGGAGGCTGTAGGCCCTGAAAGAGCTGAAGGCCACAAACCTGGAGAGAAAAAACAAATCATTTATATATAATTTAATATGATATAATACACACGAGATCATTCAGATGTTTTTGTATCAGTATTTCCTAATTCTTTTCTAACTTTGTAATATCAACATATGTTGTTTCATTATTATCAAGTATTAAATATTTTCCCAGTATTGTGTTTGTTCTGTCTCATTGCAGCATATTAAAAATGTCACGCACAGAAATCAGGATCATTTCTATGAATGTGTGTTTGTGATATTAAATAATAATAATAACTTCACAGCACAAAATACACGAGTCTCATCAGTGTAATCCAATTTATACAGAAACCAACAGCTCCAACAATGAGCAGCAGTTTAGAGACTGATTCACTGGAATCCTCGACCGGTTGGTGAGCAGAGGACAATGGAAGAGGAGAGAGACAGACAGACAGAGAGAGAGAGGGAGACAGAGAGAGAGACAGAGAGAGAGAGAGACAGAGTGACAGAGAGAGAGAGGGAGACAGAGAGACAGAGAGAGAGAGACAGAATGACAGAGAGAGACAGAGAGACAGACAGTGAGAGAGACAGAGAGAGACAGACAGTGAGAGAGACAGACAGAGACAGACAGTGAGAGACAGAGAGACAGACAGAGAGACAGACAGTGAGAGAGACAGACAGTGAGAGAGACAGAGAGAGACAGACAGTGAGAGAGACAGACAGAGACAGACAGTGAGAGACAGAGAGACAGACAGGGAGACAGAGAGACAGACAGTGAGAGACAGAGACTATGGGACGGATAGATCAGACATCATCACCTCTGTGGTTTTTTAAACTAAACAGTAATAATCTGTCCCATAAAATACAGTTTCAATAAAAGTACAAGATAAAATGAATTAAAAACAGCTCAGTATCCGAGTCACGCATGTTAAATATAAATATAAAATATAAATATTATATATATCTATATATTATATCTATATATTTATATATCAGCACGGCTGTGTGTTGTATCCCTGCGTCATGATGCTCACCACATCACCGTGTTGACTGCAGCGCACAGCGCGGAGGTCGTGCACGGTCTCTGCCTCCAGTTCACCAGGCCGCAGAGGCGACACCCCGCGGGGCCGGAGCCCGTCTCCTCGCCGCGGGGCTCCGGGCTCCGCAGACCCCGCTGCCCGCTGTCCGCGGCTCCTGCTTCCCGGCTCAGCGGCATCACGAACCGCACAGGGCCGCTCCTCCGCTCCGCTCCTCCCGCAGAGACGCACCGCAAAGTTGGCTGCAGGGTGCACGATACTGTTTCCGGCAGTGGCTTTACAAAACAAAGGTCACCGCGAGAAACGGTGAGTGAGTTTTATTTATTGAGCACCTTTCAAAGCAAAGTGACAAGGTGCTGTACAAACCAGACATTCAGATGAAAACCATAAACAATAGGTCATGACATACATTATCTCAGGGGACTTCATGTAGAAGAAACCAACAGTTCCCACAACGAGCAGCTGAGACCAACTCCTCTGGAACCAGACTGACCACATCAGCCAAGTTACAATAAATGAGTTTTCAACTACTTGTGAAAACTGTTGACGGACTCTTTTATAAGGGGAGATGGTTCCAGAGTCTGGGAGTCATCACAGAAAAGTCACCTTTAGTTTTTAATCTGGATTGTGGGATCTACCGTCTGCAGGGGTCACAATAATTCAGGAATATAAAGAGGGGCTTAATATGTAATAAGAAGAATTTCAAAATCTATTTTAAGTTGTAAATAACTAATTACAACAATCAAGATGAGAAGAAACAAAAACCTGAACGGTTTTCAACAGATCTTGGAAGAAGAAGAAACTGTGTGTGTGTGTGTGTGTGTGTGTGTGTGTGTGTGTGTGTGTGTGTGTGTGTGTGTGTGTGAGGGCATCTGGGAATTAATTTCATTTTACTGATTGTCCTAATCTTTTCCTTTTATGCCTTTACTGTGAAAAGTCTCCAGGCTTCCTGTTTCATTCAGTCCAAATTTGTCTGACTTGATGCAGCTCCAGACGTTTTGTTGTGGTTCAGTGACGTCAGTGTTTGTGTGTGTGTGTGTGTGTGTATTGTACATTTAAAGTGACGTCATTTGTTAGTAACTTACATTGGACTGACGTGTGTGTGATTCGTCACATGAATGACTTGTTATTCACTCTGTGGATTCAGGTTTATCAAATACACACACACATCTGAGGGTGAAGTTTTCCTGGTGAGTGTGAGTACACAACTTTCTGCAAACGTGTTTAGTAGCAACAGTTTAATGAGTAGATTGGGCTACATCTCTGCCCCCTAGTGGTCAAACGTCACTTGCTGCAGCTCTAAACAGAACTCCTGACAAATACAATGTGACGTCATTGATACGTTAACGACATTCACCCAGTGTGATGTGGCCAGCGTTGACGCAGCGCAGGCACATGTTCGACAACACATTCAGTGACTTCCGAAGCCTTGATGAGAAAGACAAACTTTGGTGTTTGAGCGTCTGCGCTCTCCGTTGAAACTTGAATGTTACCTTTATGACAACTTGCTGTTTTTTAACAATGCACACAAACCACAGATTGTAAACAAAGATGGACGAGGTGTCTCCACTTCCTCCCACCGTCCAGACACGAAGGCAAAGTATCTCCGATGTGAGCGCTTCGTGTTCTTCAAGAGACCATTTGAGGTTCTGTCGTATGTTTGATATCGTACATATGATTGTTTAATATTTGTATTATCAAAACTATATAATATGAAGCTATTAACTCTTGTATTTATATTTTTAAAAGAGCAATACGACCTTGTGTGTGTGTGTGTGTGTGTGTGTGTGTGTGTGTGTGTGTGTGTGTGTGTGTGTGTGTGTGTGTGTGCCACTAATTGGACCGAATTTCACTGAGTAACAAAAGATTAAGCTCGAAAATTCCAGCTCTGGTTTGCACAGGCTCTGCTTTGTTGTCCCCTCGCCTCTGTTTGTTCTCTTCTAATGCTGTGTTAACAGTTATCTCTCTCCCTTTCTCACCCCCCCCCCCCCCCCCCCCCCTCGTCTCTCTGTGTCTTTCTTTCAGTCTCTCTCACTTTCTCTCTTTTTTCTCGTGCGGCCCATGAAAGGCTTTTTGCCCCAAACGCAGCCCAGTTACCCCAACTGCTCGGAGGCAGGCAAACCCCAGAGGCCCGAACTCGCTTGTGAGGTGCTGTCCACATTAACTCACAAATCAATCTCTCTCTCTTTCTCTCTCTTTCTCTCTCTCTCTCTCTCTCTCTCACACACACACACACACACTACAGGAGCTCGTTGGACAGCCACAATGAAACCCAGAGCCTCAGTGGAGTGGATCCTCATCACTGTCTCCATCTATGGGAAACTGTCCATGTCCGTCGGTGCTGAGCCTGCCTGCGAGCTCTTGGTTGGACCTCTTTGCTGATCTTGAGGCAGGATATAGCTTGGTGGCAGGATGAAGATTGAGCTGCAAGGCACAGACGATGGTGGTGGTGGCCGTGGCCACATGGACATACTGAGCCCTGAGGAGCTGGAGTGTAAGATCTGCTATTGGGCGTACAACCTCAGGAGTCGCAGGCCAAAGGTGCTCGAGTGCTGCCACCGCCTGTGCGCTAAATGCCTAGCTAAGATCCTGGATCTGGGTGAGTCGCCCCCCAACATTGTGGTGTGCCCCTTCTGCCGCTACATCACCAGACTTGCCGGGGAGGCCGTGAGCAGTTTGCCAGACGACTGCAACCTGGTGGCAGCGCTGTCTCTCCAAAATAGGAATCAGAGGAACCTCCACTTCCACCAGGAGTCGACCACAGAGCTGCTCCTCAGCCCCAGGCACCTGAGCTCGCTGATGGGCAACAATGCACCAGTCATGTCCCCTTCCCCGCCCTCCTCTGCCTCCTCCGCCACTACTTACTCCTCCATCCGGAGCTCCCCTAACTTTGTCGTCATCACCATCATGGAACCTCCACCAGCGCCCGCCTCAAACCATGATCTCCACCATCAGCCACATGGATCACACACATCAAGCCGGGGCTACCGCTCATCCAGTCTGGACTCCATGGCGTCCATCACGCAGAGGTGGACGGTGTGGAACTGTGCAGCCCTCCTGTGCCAGACATCCGCCAGGGCACTGGTGTGGGTGCTGGGGCTGCTGTACTTCAGCTCGCTGCCCATGGGGGTTTACCTGCTCATCATGCAGAGGACAACGCTCGGCGTGCTGCTGGTGAGCCTGGTTCCTGCCAGCCTCGTCATGATCATGGTCTATGGATTCTGCCAGTGTATCTGCCATGAATTCTGGGACTGCATGCCACCATAATGGGAGCAGATGAATGGGCAATGGTTTGCTTTGAATATGCTTCACAATAGATGTCAGGAATTCACTAATGGGGATGTTACTGTGTAACTGGCCATGTGAACGTTGACTTCATTGGCAGGAAAAAGATCCTTTTTTATGGGAGAAGAAAGCAGCACAGTTATGTACATCACAGAGGAAGCTCACAGTTGTGGGCTTTTCATTCTTATATATGTTCATTTGTGCATTTGTTTAACTTGACAGACTAATAACCCAGTGGAGCTCACAGACTTAACAGATTCTGGAGGCAACTGCTACCATGCTGCAGTGAGGAACCTGGCAGATTAGTAATAACTGCCTCTGACACCAGTGGATCTAATTTGTTATCTAACAGTGGTTCTCGTCCTTTTCACATTATGTCACGCCCATAAATGCCTCAAATGTGAACACAACTACTGCAGAGTCCTGAGAGTTCTTGAAATCAGCAGCAAGATGAGCCAGCAAAAACATGCACCAAAAAGACAGAATCTGATGAAAGAGTTAAAAATATAAATATGTATGTGTACATCAGTGTGATCCTGAATTAAACTGGGTAAATAAAAATACAAGTGTACTTTGTTATAGGTGAGTTTTCCTTGCTTAGGTGTCAAGTCAACTGTTCCGTTATGTTTAGAGATATAAGTGATTAATGAGAGAGCTTCGTGATGAGCCTGAAACCACCAGGGGGCGCTGTGATAGCTCTCCTTTGTCCTCCCACCTCCACAGATGGTGTTTATATTCAGCATCATCATTCAAATCTACAGCTCAGGCTGTTGAGTCAGAGGGTGAGAGAGAAGCTGCAGGAGTGTCGAGGATCTGTGAAGTCAAATGAAACCAGGGCCAGAATCACAGTCTGTGGGACACGGGTCAAGACTGAGCTGTGGGCCCCTGAAGCATTAGTTAATAATTAGTATTTAATTTGTAAGCAAAAATAATTTATCAATATGCATAGTGTAAGTATGACAAACATACATGTATCTTAGATTATTACATATATACATCTTTATCACTTTGAGCTTGAATTGAACCATCTGAGAAATCATCCTCACAGTTCGCAGACGTGTGTCACAAAAAAAGATGGAGACATTTTTAACGATGTGTTTTTAAAGGTTCAGTGTGTAGGATTCAGTGACATCTAGTGGTGAAGTGTCACATTGCAGCTGAACGCCCCTCACCTCACCCTCCCCTTCCAAACATGACAGAGAACCTGTGGCAGCTTCAGTCGTCATAGAAACTCAACAGGTTTAGTTTGTCCAGTCTGAGCTACTGTAAAAAACATGGCTGCCTCCGTAAAGAGGACCCACTCCTGATGTAAATATAAAGTATTTAAATATAAAGTATTTAGATATAAAGTATTTAAATATAAAGTATTTAAATATAAAGGACTCATTCTAGGGTAAAGAAAACAACAATTTGTACAATGAATAATGAAAACGTCGCTAGGATTATTTTATATTTCAATTTCTTCCAATAGATCCTGAGGATTAAAGTGTCAGTTATAGTAGAAATGTAAATATTTAAGTAAAGTAGTACAAGTACCTCCAAACAGTACTTCTTTAAATGCTCTGTCTACCACCAGGGTTTGGATCATTAGGTTACTGTTTTCAGTTCTGCTAAGTGTTTGGTCTGAGGTCTGTTCCCGGCACAGTCTGTCCTCACTCTGCTTCCACAACACACGTCCTGCTGATGACGAACAGTCCAGGCCTTTGACCATCGCTGTTTCCCCGGGGACTCTTCGTCTGAATCTGAGCGAGTGCTTCCAAACGTCATCATTTCAGATTCCTTTCAAGTGACGCAATTCCCACGTGTCAGTGGGAGGGACGTTCACGGACTGTGTCTGAAAAGAAAAACAGAAGGTGACAGTCTTTGTATTCTGGTGGTAGCACGTGTGCTCACTGTATGTTGATGAAAGACCTCAGGTGTGGACCGTGGTCTCAGTGTTAGAAGAGTTTCTGTCATTTCAGGTCGTTCTTATCACACTGAGGTTCAAGAGTTCATGTCGGGTTCACTTAGTTATCTGATGATATCGGCTGAGGCTGACATGATGATGATGAAGATGAAGATAAAGATGATGATGAAGATGATGAAGATAAAGATGATGAAGATGATGATGAAGATGATGAAGATAAAGATGATGAAGGATGATACTGATAAAGAAGATGATGAAGATGATGATGAAGATGATGATACTGATGAAGATGATGATGAAGATGATGAAGATGATGATACTGATAAAGATGATGATGA